CTAATGTTGAGAGCTCAGCAGACAGTTAGGTTTCACTTTCACCCGAGAGCCTGCAGGAGTGATGGGCGGGGTGTGTGGGGAGGGGGGAGGGGAGGAGGGGTGCGCTCTGCCATGAGGAAGTTCAGCTTAAAGACACGTCCCAGGGACGTTTCTGGTACCAAAAGACGTTTCTGGTCCCCACCTGTCGTTTTGCTCCTCAGCATGGCTTCATAAAAATGCTGCAGGATTTCTCAAACATGCATGAATGAGTCAAAGCAAGGCTTTGGGCATGTTTTTTATGAGCGTATAACATTATAACATGATATAAAACTCAAAAAAGTTGATTTTACATGATATTGCCCCATTAAAGAACGATCTGCAACAGGTAAGATATTAATCGTTCACAACCTCTCCACAGAACCCCCACTTTAACTGATCTGAGCTGCTGCAGGTACGGGGGGCACAAAGAGCAAAGTTCTCAGCATTTCAGCGTCTTTAAATCTGTACAACAGAGATGTTTTACCTCAGTGACAATGTTGTTCTTCAGCCCCTCYGTGACGTTGTAGTCCCACCCGGACTCGCAGTCCACCACCACCAGCTGGCTGCTGTTGGAGTACTGCTTACACTGGGACAGGCGACCGGGGTCCCCGGGTCGCTCCCCCTTCTCCCAGGGCAGCGTGGCGTTCAGGACCTCCGGCGACGGCAGCGGGCCCGGCAGGTGGCAGCGGTGGCGGGGGGASAGGGTGATGAGGGGGTCGGAGGAGAGCAGGAAGGCCAGGAACAGGTTGGGCAGGATGGAGAGCGCGATCAGGACCCTCTGCTTCTTCCTGCCCAGGGCCAGGACCATCACCTCCCCCGTGGGGGGCAGCGAGGGCGGGGCCGGGATGGAGGACGGGGCCGGGGAGGAGGGCACGGGGGAGGAGGGCAGGGAGGGAGGAGGAGCGGGGCACGGGGACGGGGAGACGAGGGGCGGTGAGTCCGGGGACGTCATTTGTCCCGGCGAGGGGGGCGGAGCTAAAGCTGAGGCAGAGGAGTGGGCAGAAAGCGTRGGAGAACTCTGCAAGAAAAAAACATCTGTTAGCAGCACTCAGAGTACGAGCTGTGAACAACTCTCCACTACTACCACTCCAAACTTCAGCTCTTTATCTGGAAAACTGACTGAAATAAAAACATTTTCCTGTTTCATAAGTTTAACAAACGGCAGCCATGTTGAACAGGTCAATCAGCTGCAGCTGAACATCCAGAGGTTTGTGAGATATTTTCAGGGTTCCTACAGTTTAAGTTAAATTTAAGACTTTTTAATGCCAAGTGAAATTAAATTTAAGACCAATTTCATAATAAACACAAATGACAAAAACTATAAATTGTGGCAGAAACTCATGAATCAAAGTATTTGTGGTTGAAGTATTCAAATATTGCTAATAGACCAATTGTTTTAATCATATTTAACTGCTTTTTCATCAAATATAGCAGAAACGTTCTTAGCAGTCAGTTTGAAACTTAACTTAATTTCAGGAAAACCTAAAATTTGGAGTTTTAGGACCCACAGTGGGGTCTTAACCACAGTTTGCTGTAGATGAAACCTTAAAGTGTCTGTGACATCAGTTTCTTATAAGAAAAGTGAATGCGTTTTTGAAGACAACATTATTAATATAATATGTTAAAAAATGAATTTCACGTGGCTCAGATGAACAGTTGTTGAGATATTTGCATGTGAAGTAACAGGAAGTGATGTCAAAGGGGAATGTCTGCATGTGAAAATAAAATATAAATAAATGTTACCAATTATTTTAATATTTGAGA